TTCAAATTAGGAGCACACAAATTGGGGTGTTGTAAATTAATCGAGCTCGAGCATATCCTGTTAGGCTTGGCTCGAGCTCGGTAGAAGCTCGAGCGATCCTAAGTTAATATCTCAACTTCATGCTAGGCTTGAGCTTGCCTCGTGCTCGGTAGAAGCTAGAGCGGGCCTAAGTTGGTCTTTGAGCTCAGATTGATAAAGATTGGTGACTAAATAATATTAACGTTTACTCATGTATAAACACAGTAAGCTCGACGATACTCTGATAGGCTTAAACTTGGATCGACCAAGTGAGCCTGCACTGGAAGAAAATAATGTTCACTTGTATGAAAATAGAGTAAGTTTGATAAATATCAAGTAAGCTAGAGCTCAGTTCGACAAAATTGCATAGGTGTATATATAAACAAGCCTTATGTAACCATTTGTGCTCGACACTGGTACGCTTGTGGGCTTGATTCCAGGTTCGAGCTCAGCTCGTTTAGGTCTCAAGTTGAGCTCGAACATATCATACAACCATATACTAGGGTGAGCGCTCATAAGGCTTTTCAAAACCACCTAGGTAAGTCAACCTTGCGCAGATTTGGTATTATGCAATATCTTCAAGGAAGTCAAGTGGAACCGTTGAGATCTAAATGTTGAAGCTTGAAATAACAATTTACACTAACCATGATTTCTCTTTTACTTTTATAATGGATATGTTGTTTATTTTGGTGTCATTTTGGTAATCAGACGTGCTTTGCTTGCTTAATCAATAAACTATGCTCTTTTCGCGAAAATGGTTCTATAATCTTTTGGTGCAATGCAACTTTGTAAATTAGTTAGTGGATTTAAAAAGCATGCTGGTTAGGTTGGTTTTGATGGAATTGGTGCCGAAGTTGCTTAATCGATAAACTATGCTCTTTTTGCAGAAAAGATTCTATGATCTTTTGGTGCTATGCAACTTTGTAAATTAGTTAGCGGATTTGAAAAGCATGTTGGTTAGGTTGGTTTTGATGAAATTGGCGCCGAAGTGAGTTAAGAGAGGCCAAGTGATTGGTATCTCCGGAATAGGTACAGGGTTTATACAGGTCACATTGTTTTTAAGAGACAGTCGATGTAAAAATCTAGTGAAAAATCTCTGTAATCAAGATAACAAGATGGTGGATTGAAGGACATACTACTAGTGACATTTCATCCAATCTAGAAGTATCACTTTGTTCACAACTAAAAACGATAGTCTTGTACTTAAGAATTCTTTGACAATTTATTTGCTAGATACATACACTCTAAAGACTCTACCAAGTTTTATAGATATCTAATGATCTTATGTGAAAAGATACAAACATACACACAATGTGATAAGTATTGGCTTCTCTACTTCGCAACGAAATCCGCTACAATTGTAGAGGTTTTTAAACATCCCAAAGTAAACAAAAAATGCTTACACTAAAATATAGTTCCATTTTAGCACCAGAAAATATATTTATAATGGTAAATATTGAAATGGTATGTTAAATATGTAGGCAATATAAATTAGTGTGTTAACACTGTTATTTTTCTTATTATACCTAAACTATATTGTTTAATATATTATATTGAATTATGTATAACAATATAAATAAGATATCTTTTGCGACTAGATAAGTTATCACAAAGTAAAATAGTTCGGTATAAATATGCCAGAACCAAGATTTTGGTTACCGAATGGGACAATGTTTTTCAAGGGGCATAGATGAACACGATTACTACAAAAATCCTGAGTAAATTTTGAATGAAAATTTTGAATTCAAATTTTTATTTACCAAGCTTCATTACGAGATCCCGGCTTTTCGATGGGTAAATCACCTGATGAAAGATGAACAAAAGGGTATGATATGGACCTTAAGAATATCTGATTTTCTGTAGGTGATGTGGAAGACCATGCTTCCTGGTATTTTGAAAAATCAGGTGTTTTCACAGTAAAAAGTGCCTACAAGCCGGCGGCAGACCTAAAATCTTCAATTTCGAAGCAGACGTCCAACTCCACGAGCAAGACTGGGGATCGCAGCATGTGAGAATACTTGAATGGAGAACGAAACTGCCAAACAAAATTAAAGTTTTGGCTTAAAGAGTTGCTACGAGTACTTTGGCCACAAAACGGAACAAATACAGAAGAACAGTCACCGACCATGATAATATTTTCATGATCTGTGGCAGAGAGGAGAAAGATGAGATCCATGTTGTACTTACCTGTACAAAGAGTACGGCTATACACCATGCTTTGAGAGAGTGCTGGACCTTGCCTAGTGAGAAAAGTTTCAAAAGAACAGGGCAGAACTGACGTCAGGTTCTGTTGGATGTGTGCACAAAAGAAGTGAGAATTAATATCCTTGTGTTGTTCTGGAGATCATGATACCTAAGGGATAATTGCATCCATGGATAAAGTAAAGAAACAATCATAGGAGCGGTAAACATTATTGGGCTTTATTATCCACTTTTATATTATTTTTGGGACTAACCTATTAACCGGAGGCCCAGCCCAGAATTGCTGTTTTTTGCCTGTTTTAGGGTTTCGAAGAAAAGGAATATCAAACGGAGTCCAAACGGAATGAAACCTTCGGAAACGTGATTTTCTCATCAGATAAGATCCAGGAGACTTGGACCCTCCCTCAAGAAAGCCACGAGGTGGTCACGAGGGTGGAGGCCCCCCCCAGGGCGCGCCCCCCTGCCTCGTGGGCCCCTCGAAGCTCCACCGACGTACTTCTTCCTCCTATATCTATCCACATACCCCCAAACGATCGGGGACGGAGCCAAAAACCTAATTCCACCGCCGCAACTTTCTGTATCCACGAGATCCCATCTTGGGGCCTGTTCCGGAGCTCCGCCGGAGGGGGCATCGATCACGGAGGGCTTCTACATCATCATCCAAGCCCCTCCGATGAAGTGTGAGTAGTTTACTTCAGACCTACAGGTCCATAGCTAGTAGCTAGATGGCTTCTTCTCTCTTTTTGGATCTCAATACAATGTTCTCCCCCTCTCTCGTGGAGATCTATTCGATGTAATATTCTTTTTGCGGTGTGTTTGTTGAGACCGATGAATTGTGGGTTTATGATCAAGTCTATCTATGAATAATATTTGAATCTTCTCTGAATTCTTTTATGTATGATTGGTTATCTTTGCAAGTCTCTTTGAATTATCAGTTTGGTTTGGCCTACTAGATTGGTTTTTCTTGCCATGGGAGAAGTGCTTAGCTTTGGGTTCAATCTTGCGGTGTCCTTTCCCAGTGACAGAAGGGGCAGCAAGGCACGTATTGTATTGTTGCCATCGAGGATAACAAGATGGGGGTTTTATCATATTGCATGAAACTATCCCTCTACATCATGTCATCTTGCTTAAGGTGTTACTCTGTTTTTAACTTAATACTCTAGATGCATGCTTGATAGCGGTCGATGAGTGGAGTAATAGTAGTAGATGCAGAATCGTTTCGGTCTACTTGTCTCAGATGTGATGCCTATATACATGATCATACCTAGATATTCTCATAACTATGCTCAATTCTGTCAATTGCTCAAGAGTAATTTGTTCACCCACCGTAGAATACTTATGCTCTTGAGAGAAGCCACTAGTGAGACCTATGGCCCCCGGGTCTCTTTCTCATCATATCAATCTCCATCACTTTATTATTGCTTTGCTTTTACTTTTTACTTTGCATCTCTATACCAAAAATACCAAAAATATTATTTATCATCTCTATCAGATCTCACTTTCGTAAATGACCGTGAAGGGATTGACAACCCCTAAGCGTGTTAGTTGCATTGAGCTATTGTTTTTGTGTGGGTACGAGGGACTCGAGCGTAGCCTCCTACTGGATTGATACCTTGGTTCTCAAAAACTGAGGGAAATACTTATGCTACTTTGCTGCATCATCCCTTTCTCTTCGGGAAAATTCAACGCAGTGCTCAAGAGGTAGCACATACCACACATCTAAGCATACTATAAATCCATCCATGACCACTAGATATCAATCCGTGCCGGCATGGAAACAACCCCTAGCATGCTTCAAATTCATCACAACTAGCTACTAAAATATCACAGTCACACAGATCGGAAGATCTATCCCTACCACATGGACAGATCTAGTTAGAACTAGTAGAGACGAGGGGGTGATTGAACTCACAGACTCCATCGGAGGAGCCACGGAGGAGGCGTTGGACACGTCGGAGAAGAGGAGCAGTCAATTTGCCGCCACCGTCAACTGGTCGCCGGAGCAATTGAGCCGCTTACCTCGTTGTCGATGTGGAACAGCGCCAGAGTGAAAGCTCGAGAGGGGGGGAATGGTGGCAGCCGCCGCGGTCACCCTGGCTATATAGGGCGACTAAATTGGTAGGCGGTGACACGAAATCGTCCCGCCACTTTTTCGGAGACGCGTGCGAGCTCCTGCCATCTCCCTGCTCGCAGCTGCTCAGCGCCGCGTTCCCCTCCCATGCATCGCTCGAGCCTGGCTCGCTGAAAACTGTCGATTCGGCCGTTCCTGGCAGGATTGGTCGAGCACTACTTTAAGGTTCGTGCGGGCCAAGATTTGATGCGGGCCAGGCAACCAAACAGACAGTTTTCTTCCCGGGCAGGCTTGGCTGAGCCTAATGCGAGCAACCAAACACATCATTTGTCTCCATCAACCATCAAATTATGCATGTTGCTATGCCGAGGAAGCAGAGGCTGCGACAGTGGTGCCGTGGAAGCAAGGAACAGGGGATCAACATCCATGAATCAGTCACTAGGATTTTCAACTGCTCAAAAATGGCATCGATACGTGAGATGCTTGCTCAAAAATGCTATCATTCCGTTAGATGTTTGCTCAAAAATGACATTAGACATTGTTATTTTCACGTCAAACCCATTGACCATGTTATATGACAAAAATAAGCATAGCACACATGTCAGTTCTTTTTATCTCACAATGATAAGTGTGGTCCCACTTGCCAGGAGTAAGCAAGCGAATAATTTTATAGAAAAATAAGGACGTTGTTGGGATCAAGTGGGCCCCACACTGGTTGTAGTGAGATAGAGGGAGAGTTGGCATGTTGGTCCATAGGTATTTATGTCATTATAACATGACAAAAGAGATTTGAGATCACAATAATGGTGTCCAGTGGCATTTTGAGCATGTGTCTAATAAAGCAATGTCACTTTTGAGCAGTTGAAAATCCTAATGGCAAAGCTGAGTAATGTGACACAACTGGTGGCATAAATGATAAAACCCAAAAACAATAACTTCTAAGTAAGTACTTTTTTGACATCACTAATAGGTCAGACCCGCCCGTTGGGCTAAGTTGGCAAAAGAGAAGTGCTATGTAGACATTTGGACTTGGTCTTCTTCTTTCTCCTTTTCTGTGTTCTTAATCATTTCATCAAACACGATATGTGCATCTCTTTTAAGTGGGAGTGAGA